CATCGCTTTTGTTCTTAAAAACAAATGTTGGCAATAAAAAAAAATAATGCGTTATTTTACAAAATGCAGTCTCATTTTATGACACGCAGCAACGATCATTATGTACTCTGTATTTCGATACTAAACTTGTATAAGAAATATATATTAATTTTTTTCTCCTTGTTATTTTCCATTTTTTCAATACGTGAGTAACAAATAGTAGACGTAACAATGATCGCTTCTACGTTGTCTTCGATAGGAACCAGTTTCACATTTTTCTTTCTTTTTTTTTATTTGAATTAAAGACGATTTGTCGCATAGAATCTATTATGTTTATTATTTTTTACTACATAGTTATACGACAAGTAAACGCTTCTTTAAAGCAAATCAATATTTTTTCAAAGAATTTTAGCATTAATTAAATACAATTAAATAATTCTATATTCTCAAGTATGACATCGACAAGTATCATCGGCGTTATGTTAAATACACAATGTAAACATGAATCGGTTAAATTGTATACTTCGTGCATTTCGTGTGTATACATATGTATATATATGTATAAACATAATAGATTCTATGCGACAAATTGTCTTTAATTCAGATAAAAAAAAAAAAGAAAAATATGAAACTGGTTCCTATCAAAGACAACGTAGAAGCGATCATTGTTACGTCTACTATTTGTTAATCACGTATTGAAAAAATGGAAAATAACAAGGGGAAAAAAATTAATATATATTTAACAATTAATAGTGAGAATCATCTCGGGCTCTATCTTTCTAAACTAATAAATGAATGGTCGTAAAGAGCCGGTCGCAGGATGTTGTGCGGATAAATGTGTGTATAAATGTAAGAATACATTTGTCTATACGCTTTCACGTGTAAATAATTCACGTGAGTTTTTCGAATTGAAATTTCAATTTTAAAAATCACACACAATGCCAATTTTGCATTACGTATGTGAAAGACCCCGAATACCCCCCTAATTAATTTATAAAATATTTTATATTACTAAAAGAAAAAAAATATAATACGAATATAATTTACGTCGATTGCCTCCTAGCAGTGATAGTTGGAATTAATGCGCTCGAGTATCTTGTTGCAGATGAAAGTGTTACTTAATGAGCGCCGTTGCGTGCGTGTGTTTGCGGTGCGACTGTGTGCAAATGACAAATGAATGAACTCTGATGTGTGTGTATGTGTGCAACCTGTGAATGCGGTGCGTTTGGATCATAGAGCTTATACTCACGGAGAGGCCATGGGAGCGCAAGGAGGATCGACAAAGGCTGCTTTCTTTTTAGGAGACACAGTCGACACAAGTCGATACAAGAGTCATTCTATCTTTGTTTCTCACTGAATACTGAACAAAGACAGAATGACTTTTGTGTCGACTGTGTCTCCTAAAAGGAAAGCAGCTAAAGAGAGATATATTTTTCTGTTTCAATTGCGGGCACTTCTTATAGAAGAGAATAACAGAGCACGGAGTGGGAGAGCCACAGTTGAGACAGAATATATCTATCTCTCTGTTGCTCCTCGCGCGGCCCTCTCTATGGTTAGCATATAGCATATATGTAATACTTCTATATGGCTAGTTGAGCTCTCAGCGCGGTTCCAACACTACGGTGCAGACAATGCTCTACTCTCTTTATTACTCTTTATCACTGTTCAGTTTGTTCGAAAGCGCATGCGTGACATGTATCCATAATGCTTATATTGGCTGCNGACATGTATCCATAATGCTTATATTGGCTGCGTTCCGATATTCACTGCCAGTACTGAAAATCTATAGCACATGTAACGTGAAGTATAACCTCAAAAGTCTTCTAAGATATTGTTTTGAATCTATTTGTGTAGCACGAAAATTACGTACTACACAAGAAAATCAGTGCAAAATGGTAAGGTATTGTTATGTCTGTAACAAAAAACAAGCCAAAAATAAAGATCTTTGCTTACATAAGTAAGTTATAAGCGTAAATTTTAATGTATATATTATGTCTCTGAAATGTGGTTATCAGTTTATCGTAAGAATAATATATAACTTTATATATAAAATAAATGTAAATTTTAATTACAAAAAAATGTAAATTTTAATTTGTTTATCAAATTAATATAATTATTTTACATTTATAAAATAAATACATTTTTTTTGTACAATATTGGTGTCACTTGTATATTGCATGCTGTATTTTATTTCTTACTTAATTATGTTGCTTCTATTAATATATTACATCACTGATATTTTTTATTATTGTGCCAAAAATTTTAACGTTTTATGTCATCTCTTTTCTATATTGTTTTCACTTTCTTGCAAAATATAAATTAATTTTTGTTTTTCAATCGGGCCTTGAACATATTTATCTAATAAAATTTTACGTATAACTTTTTGTAATTAGAAAATAAAACCATTTATAGACACTTTCTATATTTTTTTTTCTTAATAATTACTAACTAGTAGATTCTTTTTATAAATCTGTTTAAATTTTCCCGCAACGCTTGCGCATTACCAATTATTGAACACTCCTCCTACTCTTTCTTGGAGAGCCAATAAGCATCTATCTTCTATCCTTCAGTGTTGAGACAAGTCCCGCTTATGGAAAACTTGCTTAACTAGCCATATAGGAGTATTACATATATGGCATATTTCGGGCGACTTTCCCCCACCTTGTCGTGATGCTCGGGCTTAGGGGAGCGCAGATCCGAGGGGCTATACTGGCGGGGAATCTTAGGATTTCCTGGCAGAGTCACCCATGCCAGGAAGGCCCTCGGGGAGCTCTTAAACTAAGAGGAGAAATAGAGGAAGGAAAACCTCGAACAAAAATCGGGGGTTCTCAGCCCTGCTTAGCCCCTTATGCGGGGGCATCTGGGATAGGGGAGAAAACCCTGACTTCAAATCCGGGGACGTCCGACCCCGTCAGCCACGGTGCAATCGGACTAGGGGAGTAAACTCTGACTAAAAATCCGGGGTGTCCAGCTCCGAGAGGCGCTTTCGGGTCGGCCACTGGACTAGGGGAGGGAAAACCCTGACTCCAAACCCGGGCAGGACGAGCTCGTTACCCTTGGCCGGGAATCGTCCTAAGAGAAGGACACTCCGAAATTAAACCACCCCATCCACCATGGAGATGACAAGTACAGAGGAAGAAATGTTACCGGACCAGGATAAACGGACATCCAGGTGCCGGCAGTTCGGGGGTCCCGGCCCTGCCCCCGTCCGGTCGTCATCAAACTAGGAGTTGGCTGCTTCGTGCCAAGCAGGCGGAGCAGTTTTTAGTGCTACTTCTGAAGCTATAGAGAACGTGGATATGGCGGGTCCTGGTCCGAGCAGGATCCCGGAGGAGAGAGTGATTGCCACTCTAGAAATCCAGTCTTTGGACGAAGAGTCTCAGGTGGAGAGCGAGCAGCTGTCCTTGACGCAGCGGCAAAAAACAACCCGCTCGTTCTTTAAGAATAGTGCTCTAACGCGGAAAGGGGCAAAGGGCGCCGCCCGGGAGAGGCAAAGAGCGGCCAAAAGAAGTCGCGTCACTACCGTCAGTCATTCTGACGAATATGCGACTTCCGCGCCCGAGTCAGACATCGATCCGGGGTCAGACGTGGACACCAAAGTCGCGTCGCTTCCCACGTTGTTGGAAGTAATCCTCAGTCGCCTCACGTATGTGAATAGACTGAGGAAGAAGTCTAAGCGGCTTAAAGGCTCGATTTCGGGCCAAATGAAACGGGCCTTTATCAAACTCCAAAAGGAGACAAGGGCCCTGGCTGCACGTGTTGAGATGCGGGGTAACGCACAACATTTGTACGACCGTGCTGCTGCCGCTGAAAAAGAAGTGCACCAACTTTGCTTGTCAAATGGTGCACTACAAGCCGAAATCCTGAGGCTGAAGAGGAGAGTGAAAGAGATCGAAGAAAGAGCCCCAGCGCGGCAAGGATGTGACGTAGCTGTACAGGCGTCTATACCTGTGGTAACGTCTGTGCAGTCTGTTCCAGCGGGCGCTGGTCCCGTGGTCAAGGTGGTGGCCCCACCCGTGAATCTTTCTTCGGTGGGAGGCCGAAAGCGGGTCCTTAAAGAAACCCCTGGAGGTGGATCTCCAAAGACGGCTTTTGCCGGTGAGGAGGACATGGCCTCCGTTATCAAACGCGAGGTCATAGAGCTGCTCCGCAAGAGCAGGAGAGAAACGGAGGAGCGCGTCGTTGAGCTAGTTAACGGCGCGCTTTCGAGTAACGTGAGCGCCGCTCAAGACGGCAGACAAAAGACTGCACAGCCGGTTTGTCGAAATACCCAACCGGTGGCCAGCCAGCAGCCCTCGACGGAGACGTGGGTGGAAGTCACCAAGCAAAAGCGGCGTGGCCCCAAGTCCACATCCGCAGTCGCTCGACCGGAAGGTCCCACTGCTGTTCAGCAGAACCCTGCCCGAAGGCAACAACAACAGGGTGACGGGCACCCTCCCCAGCTAGGGCCTGCCAGCCACCCCGAGGCGGAGTTAGGCGCAAGAAGCGCAAACCTCGGCACGTGGCTGCGGTTGCAATTCGGCGTCCCCCGGGACAAGAGCAACCGACACCGTATGCGGACATTATCCGCACTGCGCGGGCGGCGGTTCCTCTTCAGAAAATGGGGATTAACGACACTCGCATTCGTCGTGATGTCGGCGGGGGTATCCTCGTTGAAATACCGGGCCCAGGTGGAGACAAGAAGGCGGACCAACTGATAGCTGTACTGACCCCGGTTTTACAAGGAAAGGCCACGGTTACCCGGCCAGTACGCAAGAGCGAAATTTGCCTCACGGGTCTCGACAAATCCGTTGAGGCAAAAGATGTAGTGGCGGTACTGTCCTTGGGCGAGTTCGGCCCCTGTCGCGCCGAAGACGTCACAATGGGCCCCATTAAGGAGGGCCGTGATCGCATGGGCGTAGCCTGGCTTCGCTGCCCGGCTGAGGTCGCGGACAAAATTGCGGAAAAAGGCCGGCTAAAAGTAGAGTGGTCCTCGGCTCGCGCCGTCCTTCGCCCTGCGCGACCACTCCAATGTTTTAAGTGCCTGGAGTTCGGGCACGTCCGGGCAGCTTGTTGCAATGACGTCGACCGCAGCAAGATGTGCTATCGCTGCGGTGAAAACAGTCACGTCGCCTGTGAGTGTAAAGAGAAGGCTCATTGTGTTTTGTGCGCATTCCGGAACCTTGCGTCTGGGCACAGAACGGGCAACGCGGCCTGTCCCTCGAGGACAAAGGGCCGGAACGGCGTTAAGAAACCTTTGGAGCGGAGGACCGAGGAGCAGATGGAGGTAACAGAGGAAGATGGACCAGATCCTCCAAATTAATTTAAATCATTGCGGTCCAGCGCAGGACTTGCTCCGGCAAGTAATGCGCGAAAAGCAGATCGCGCTGGCCGCGGTTTCCGAGCCCTGCTGGGTTCCACAATCCCCCAGGTGGGCCAGCGATCTGGACGGAGTAGCTGCGGTTGTCTGGTCTTCCCAGGCCAGCCGCACTGTGTCCGAAGTTTTGGACCGTGGCCGTGGCTTTGTGGCTGTGCGTTGAGGAGTCCTTGGACTCACTCCGAGATAGCATTCGGCGTGTTGGCGGTAGAACTTATCTGGTCCTAGGAGATTTTAATGCGTGGTCCACCCAGTGGGGCTCACCCTCGTTGAATGCAAGGGGAAAGGCGGTTGAGTTGTGGGCTGCGGAAACGGGAGTCCATATTCTTAACGTGGGCTCTACGTGGACCTGCGTCCGCTCACAGGGTTGTTCGGTCGTCGACTTGTCGTGGGGGTCGGTTGCGGCGGTCCCACTCGTTACCAGGTGGGAGGTCTGGGAGGACGAGGAGTCCCTCTCAGACCATAGGTACGTCGCGCTGACAGTCCACCGCCAGCGCGGCGTCGCTGATCGTGGAGAGCCTCGCTTTCCTCGCTGGCGCAAGGAGGACTGGGACCATGACCTCTTTGAGGCAGCGGTTCTAGGTGCTGCATGGGGCAACCCTGTGGAGACAGGGTGGTCAGCCGAGGAAGAGGCTGAGTGGATCACCCGCACAGCGGTTGATGCGTGCGACTTGGCAATGCCGAGAGT